GTTCTCCTGGTGGTCTCTGTGATCCCAGGGTTCTCCTGGGGGTCTCTATGTGATCCCAGGGTTCTCCTGGGGGTCTCCATGCAGTACCAGGGGTTTCTTGGGGGTCTCTGTGTGATCCCAGGGGTCCCCTGCCAGTCTCTCTGTGATCCCAGGGGGTCTCTCGGGGGGGGTCTCCATCTCTCTCTGGTGGCTGGGAGGTCGGTTTGGCATCGATTCGGGGCGGTCAGGGCCGCAGACATCCCCCCTCCCTCCCCAGTGCCCGCCGGCCGCTCCTGCCCGCGCCGTGCCAGCCCCGGCGGGTGCCCCGAGGCGTCCCCATGGAGTGACCCCGCGGGGGTCTCTCGGTGCCAGGGGGACCCTGGCTCCCACCACCAGCATGAGCGACTTCTGGCACAAGCTGGGCTGCTGCGTCGTGGAGAAGCCCCAGCCCGTGAGTACCACGGGCACTGGGGGGGCTTGGGGAGGGGTCTGGGGGGGTCAGCGGGGGGCTCACAGCCTTCATCACCCCCTCACAGAAGAAGAGGAGGAGGAGGATCGACCGCTCCATGATCGGGGAGCCCATGAACTTCGTGCACCTGACACACATCGGCTCCGGGGACATGGCTGCGGGAGAGGGGCTGCCCATGGTACCCCCGGGGGGGGGGTCAGGGATGGGGGGTGGGTGTTGCTTTTGGGGGTGATGGGTCTCGTAGTCGGGCGGTGGGCGTCGGTGTTGGGGTGACAGGTCTCATGGTTGGGTGGTGGGTCTTGCTTTTGGGGGTGATGGGTCTCACAGTTGGGTGGTGGGTGTCTCTTGCGGGGTGCTGGGTGTCCTGGGTGGGTACAGGGTGTCCTGGGTGGGTACAGGGTGTCCCTTGTGGGGTGTTGGGTGTCCTGGGTGGGTACTGGCTGTCCTGGGTGAGTACAGGGTGTCCTGGGTGGGTGCTGAGTGTCCAGGGTGGGTACAGGGTGTCCCTTGTGGGGTGCTGGGTGTCCTGGGTGGGTGCTGGGTGTCCCAGGTGGGTGGTGAGTGTCCCTTTCAGGGTGCTGGGTGTCCTGGGTGGGTACAGGGTGTCCCTTGTGGGGTGTTGGGTGTCCTGGGTGGGTGTCCCTTTTGGGAGCTGGGTGTCCTAGTTGGGTCCTGGGTGTCCCTTGTGGGGTGCTGGGTGTCCTGGGTGGATACTGGGTGTCCTGGTTGGGTACAGGGTGTCCTGGGTGGGTGCTGAGTGTCCTGGTTGGGTGCTGGGTGTCCCTTTTGGGAGCTGGGTGTCCTGGTTGGGTCCTGGGTGTCCCTGGTTGGGTACAGGGTGTCCTGGGTGGGTGCTGGGTGTCCTGGGTGGGTACAGGGTGTCCCTTGTGGGGTGCTGGGTGTCCTGGGTGGGTACAGGGTGTCCCTTGTAGGGTGCTGGGTGTCCTGGGTGGGTACAGGGTGTCTCTTGTGGGGTGTTGGGTGTCCTGGGTGGGTACAGGGTGTCCCTTGTGGGGTGCTGGGTGTCCTGGGTGGGTGTCCCTTTTGGGAGCTGGGTGTCCTAGTTGGGTACTGGGTGTGCCTTTCAGGGTGCTGGGTGTCCTGGGTGGGTGCTGAGTGTCCTGGTTGGGTACTGGGTGTCCTGGTTGGGTCCTGGGTGTCCCTTGCGGGGTGCTGGGTGTCCTGGGTGGGTGCTGGGTGTCCCAGGTGGGTGGTGAGTGTCCCTTTCAGGGTGCTGGGTGTCCTGGTTGGGTACTGGGTGTCCTGATTGGGTACTGAGTGTCCCTTTCAAGGTGCTGGGTGTCCCTTTCAGGAGCTGGGTGTCCTGGTTGGGTACTGGGTGTCCCGGTTGGGTCCTGGGTGTCCCTTGCGGGGTGCTGTGTGTCCTGGGTGGGTGACAGGGTGGCACAGCGGGTGACAGGCCCTCCCTGCAGACCGGAGCCGTGCAGGAGATGCGATCCAAGGGCGGCCGGGAGCGACAGTGGAGCAACTCCCGGGTGTTGTAGCGTGTGAGTCCACGGCCCCCCCGGCCCCCACTGCCCCCTCGGAGGCACCAGCACCGAGTGGCACCCAAAGGAGCCTCCTCTGCTGCGCTCCCGTAACCCGACCCCTGGGATTTCACAGATTCCTGGCGTTTTCAGCCCAAACTTGAACTGCCCCCCCCTCCCCGCCGGAGGAGAGGCCGCCCTGGAGCACTCGCGGTATTTATGCAGCACCAGCCTCGCCCAGCTCCCGCTGACTCCTGGCTGTCATCCCCCTGGAAAATCCCTCCTTCCCGGGGGCATCGGGCCGGTGACACGGGGAGGGGGCGAGGACAGCAGCCCCCTCCTCCTGCCCCCCCTGGAAAGGACCGTGCCAGGAGCTGCCAGGCGCAGCCCACGCGTGCCAAACCTCCCCGGGATTCCCTCTGTCCACTCCAGCGTGTCCTGGGGGCTGCTGGGTGCCTCAGTTTCCCCAGGGAGAGGGTGCAGAGGTGGCTTTGGTGCCTCCTGGAATGGCACAGAGGAGCAAAACCGGGATTAACCCGCGACGTTCTGGTGCCAAACCGGGGTCAAACCCGAGATGTTCTGGTGCAAAACCAGGATATGGCGTAAAATGGGGATCAAACCCCGGTGCTTCAGTGCAGAGCAGGGACTGAACCCCAGTGCTTTGGAGCAAAACCAGGATTAAACCCCGATGCTTTGGGATTAAACCCCGATGCTTTGGTGCCAAACCAGGATCAAACCCCGACGCTCCGGTGCCTCACCATCACCGAGCCTGCAGTGCCTCCCCCCGGCATTCCCACCACTGCCAAACTCCCCCCTTTTTTTAGGATATGTTCTTTTTTCTAAGCTCCAAAACCCACCTGAGCAGCCTCTGGTGGGGTCCCCTCCACCCAGGACTGTCACCTGCAGAGGCAGGACAGGGCCCGACCCCAGGAGGCTCCCGAATTCAGGCGCGGGTGTACATAGTTTAATTAGCGCCGTTTAATTAGGATTAAATGTTAAAACAGCCTGTGCTGAGTGACAGAGCCTTTCCCCTTCCCTGGGCTCCACCGGGATGCTCCGGGCAGAGCTGGGCTTGTCTAGTCCTGCTTCGTGTTTGCAGGGGGGGGATTGCAGCCCAGGGAAAGAGGGGCTTCACCCCCTGGAGCGGGTGGGGGGCACCCCTGGCATGAGCAGGGCAGCACCAGACCCGGCCCAGAATAAAAGCCAAGAGCCCAAAGTGGAAGAAAAGGGGAATTTAATCCTTGGAAAACGTGGGTGACAATCCTGGGCTGGCTGCGTGTCCGGACCCGGCATCCAGGGCCCCCTCACAGCCCTCCAGGGGAGGGAAGAACGTCAAGAACTCGTCAAGAACTCGTTAAAAACCAACCCCCCCCCCCCCCCCAGTGCCCTCATTAAGCGCGTGCAACTGCTGCCCCCAAAAACCCACCCTGGGGGCCCGTGGGGAGCCCGCTGGGGGCACAACTCACACCGAGGAGCAGGAGCTGAGCTCTAACCAAGGTGGCTGCAACCCCCCCCACCACGCCCGGGTACCCCCCAGGGCCCACTCAGGGCCCCCCAACTTGTCCTCCAGCCCTCCGGAGCCGCGGGGTGCCCGGCGTTATTTGGGGGAGCCGGGGGGCTGCCCCGTGGCGATGCGGCTGACCCGCTCCAGGACGTCCTGGGGGCACAGCGGGGGCACGGCCTGGGCCAGGGGACACTCCTCCACCAGGCTGTTCATGGGGGTGGGCGGGGGCACCACCTCCTCCTCGGGACCCCCCGCGCCGCCCAGCGCTGCCCGCAGGATGGGCAGCACCTTCTTCCTGGAGGCCAAGGCGTTGCCCTGGGCGAAGGCGCCCACGCAGGGCCAGGGGCTGGCCAGGGGCTGCAAGTGCAGGGACGGCGTCGTCGCCTCCTCCAGCGCCCGGCACAGCTGCGGGGGAGCACCAAAATCAGGAGGGTTTGGGGCAAACCGAGGGCGCCCGGCCCCCCCCAGCTCACCGTGCCGCGGAGGGTCTCGCACCGGCTGTACACGGCCAGCTTGCGCGTGGGCTCGTGGCGCTCGTTGAAGGAGACGGTCATGGCCACCAGCCCCGCGTAGCCACGGGCCTGGCAGAAGGCGTCCAGGTCCTGCAGCAAGCCAGGCCGGAGCAGGAACGTCTGGAGACGAGGGAAGAGGCTCTTTGGTGTCACCGCCGTGGTGCCGCTCCCCGCCCCGGTTCCCTCCCCACCGAGCCTCACCTCCAGGTCCACGTAGACGCCGCTGATGGCGACGACCAGCTCGTCGCCGGAGATCACCTTGAGGTCCTTGCGCAGCATCTGCTCCGTCGTCAGCCCTGGGAGGGGACGGGGCGGCCGTGAGCCCCCGGCACGCGCCGGCGTCCCCGGGGAGACGGGTCAGGGTTGGGGGGGGGGATCCCCGGGGTGTCACCGCACCTGAGACGTCAAACTTGGCCGCCTGCAGGGCTCCGAAGACGCTGTCGCGGGGCGGCAGCTCGGGGAACCTCTCCTCGAGCAGGGCCACGCACGCCACGTCCCGCGGCGTCACCTTGCCGGCGGCCGGGCTCAGGTTGATGCAGTCCAGGAGGATGGTGCCTGTGGGGGACACAGGGCGGGGGGGACACGTTGGCACCGTCCCCTCAGCCGGGGTCGGGCCGGGCCCCTCCCGTCCTCACCGTGCAGCAGCGCGGCCGTGGTTCTGTCCAGCAGCCCCGGGGGGCCCTGGGCGATGCGCTCGGTCACCAGCGTGGCACAGGAGCCCACCGGCTCCACTGTCACCCGGCACGGCGGGCCGCGCTCCCGCTCCAGCGGCCGGTGGTCCAGCACCTCCACCACGGCCTCCTCCAGGGCTGCGTCGGCACTGCCGGGGCAACACGGGGAGGGTCACCCCCCGGCAGAGCCCGGGAGCCCCCTGTATTCCTCTCCTTCCCTAAAAACACCCCGCAGAGGGATAAATCTGACCCGTGCCGTGCCAAGCGAGGAAAGCGCGAGGCTCCGGGTGGGTGTCCCCGTGTCACCCCACCCCCGGCTCACCCGGGCAGGACGTGGTGATCCACCAGCGTCAGGGAGAGCAGCCCGGCGTGGTGCAGCCCCCCCAGGTCGATCTCATCCCGAAAGATGAGGGAGGAGGCCGGGACGCCCCGATCCCGCAGCAGGAACATCGTCTCCGTCCGCAGCGTGAAGTCGGCGCGGGGGATGTTCAGCACCGGCACGACGGCGGCTCTGGGAGCCGGGGAGCTCTGTGGTGGTGGGGGGTGACACCCCGTGAGGCGTCCCCTGGGCCACCGTGTCCCCGAGCCAGCGGGAGGGACCCACCTGGGCCAGGAAATAGGCCAGGGCCAGCGCCGAGACCGTGGAGTCCAGGTCACAGGCCTCGTTGCCCATCACCACGTGGACCTCCCGGTGATGCTGGATGTGATCCTGCCGGGATGGGGCACGTCGGGCGTGGCAGCGACGTGTCTCCGTCCTCCAAAAACCCCCCAGACCCCTCCCTTCCCCTCGGAGGGGTCACCCCAGCCTCCCTGGAGCCACTTGTCACCGATGTCACCCACAGATTCCACCCCCCAGGCGGGTTCCTGGTGACCCTGGACAGGCCTGGGATCCACTTCCAGCACTAAACCCTCAGATTTTTGGGTTTATGTGAAATGGGGTGCACCAGGGCTCCGGGGAGAACAGGAAAACCCACCTCAGCCCAGAGGGGACAGAGACCATCCCACCCCCGCAGCCCTGGGAGCATTTAGTATTTTAACCTGTTTTTTCCCAGAAACGGTGACTTTGGGGCTGGTTGTCCCCCCCTCCCCCCCAAAACATGATGTTTCACCCCTTTTTTTCTTGCCTGCAGCAGCAAGAAAAACACGTCACTCCCCCCAGTGCCTGTCACGCTCCAGGGAGCCGCCCCAGCCCCAGGCTGTTTTTTGGGGACAATCTCTCCTGCCATGACCCAGATTCACTCCTTGCTTCCGTAGGAGCCCAGGAAATAAAGCCCCGGGAGCAGCAGGTCGGGGGATCTGTGCCCCCTGTGCTGCAGGGGGTGGGGAGGGGGTGCTGGGGAGCCCCCGGCCAGGAAAAGGGTTTGGGGTGTCCCTGGTGGGGCTGTGGAGGGAGCAGCTCCTTTCCCCAGGGGAGATGGGTGCACCTCCCTTGGGGGTATTGGTGCTCTGGGCACCCACACCCCCTGCACCCCATCCCCTGGGCATGGAGACCCCCTGCACCCCAT